GGATAGACGAAAAAACCATTCAACATTGGTGTTACGAGTGGTCTCGTTTGGCTGTAGTATCAGTTAAGTCGTTCTTAGCGTCCTGCCCAAGCAAGTGCGCCATTTGCTGCGTTGTGAGGGACGTCGCTCGTGTCGTCACAGAAGAGGCACCGAGCGTGTGTGCATCAGTTTTTACTGAAACCTTTTACATGGGTAAGGCACGGACAACTCTAGATGAGTGGTGAGTGACAGTGGAAACGTGAGAGGGCTCGCATTCACCGGGCCGACGGGGCATTCCGGGCACAAAAACAGGCCCGGGAGGCTGAACGCCGGCTGCAACTGCGTAACGATGATCGAGCAGTCTACGAAGCTGCGCTAAATCGCGACATGAAATGCAAGTGCTTATGGCGGGAAGATCTTGAAACCACGCCACCGAGTTAACTCGCGATGTCAAACGCTCGCCTTAACGCCTCGCCGAAGCACCGTTGCGGGCCCGACCACGTCAACTTGACCTTTGCAGGAGCGCATTAACAAAGGCGAACCAATGCACTCCAGATTTAGGTGGCATTAGGCTAACGTCCACTTTCGATGGGGATATTTGCAGAAGCACTTTAGCTTGTGCTGCGATGTCTATTACCACCTGTAAGTTCAACAAGCTGTAAGGTTAACACAATGCAAAACATCTTTAACCACTCACAACACCCCTTTATGACCATGATTATGGAATGCAAATGTGCGGCATGGTAAATAAACACCTGGGTAAACTCAAGCCAATCGTGTGCCTAACATCATTTAAAACACGCACGAACATGTAACCAATAATTTTTAAAGGCTCCAGTGCTGTATCGGTTAAACCTACAGCTAAACACCGGGGCCGCACGTTTCAGATTTCACTGGTTAATGATTTGTACAGGTCGGTTCACTGTTAAAAAAACATGCGAGCGCGTGGCCTGCACTCTGCGCCGGTTGCCTACAGCACCATCAGCCGACAGCTAAGAAAATCACGTTTGCTTTCGCCGTCATCTATTGCCAGCCAAGATAACGATTCATGCCCAGTTTACAAGCGCTGCTATACAATACACTCCGTCACCTCTCGCGCGACCAGCCATGTCGGCCAGTGCCTGCAGCTTGCGCTGTGCTTGCTCTTTACGTTCGCTTTGTTGGCAGAAGACGACGCACTTCAGGTTCACCCTCTAGCAGTTGACTGACCTGTACGTAGTACTTGGACGGTGACTTCTTTACTGCATTAATTCGGAAGTTTGGAATAAATCGATTACCAAGAAACATAATTTATATTTTCTCAGTGGCCGTGCAGAATGCTGTATTTTCCGCCGGGCAGCTTTTATCAGACATCGCGAAATAGGTGCGCTTTCACTCGATGGGGATCACACGCGTGACGGCTGCAGAGCGCCATGCTTTCACGGTTGATCGTCACGTATTTAAATGCAGCGGAATGCCGGCAACGTAAACAAAGGGTCACCTAAAGGCACCAACACGAAGCGAGACGCTGACAGGAAGCGGCTACGCTCTATCACTGACAAGCCCGAACACTGGTAATCCTAATATTCTGGTTATGGTTCCCTGCGCATCTGCGAAATATAATTTACCCAACGACTGTGGACAGGCAATGTGCTCGAACTAAAAACCTCCCGCTCGGTGTGTAAACATGACCTACGCGACCATTGCGAGATTTCCGTAAATGCTGTAATTTGTGCTCTCACTTCGCACTATGCTTCAAAAAGTACACTGTAAACAAGAATAAGCCCCTAAGGGCGTTCAGGAAGGTTATGTGCGCTTTTTTCACCCTGCGAGGAATACGAGCGCCCTTGCAAGAGGGAAAATGGGCGGAAACTGCAGTTTTACCATGATCATCGAGAATCAGAAAATATGGGAGCTGAACCAGTCTAAAAAGCAAGTGAAAATTGGCGTTGCGCAGAAGAATGTCAATTACGTCTATTTATACAAGAACAACCCGCTAAGTTAAGAAGCCGCAGTTGAATCTCGGCTGCGGCTGCTGTATTGTCAATGGAGGCGAAAATGTTTGAGGCCTATGTACATAAGATTAGGCGCACGTCAAGCAGCCCCGAATGGACATTATTTCTGGAGCCCTCAACTACAGCGTCTTTTATATTGTGGTTTTGGGACGTTGAACCCTAGATAACGGCATTAAAGATAAGAATTGGTTTATTATGTCTGTGTAGTGCGGGGATCAAACGCAACACAAAACGTCGATGTAACCCGTACAGCGTTACCCCGCTTTCACTTGAAGCAGCTTCGTCTCGCATATTACTCCTCAAGAATATGATAACAGTTCAATTTTAACGGCACGAGCTACAAGCAGAAAGCCGAACTCTTCGCAAGTCAGCCACTCACCTCGAAGACGTAAGCGTGTCAATAACGAGGCTGAAGCAGCTGAAGCGCACTTCCGCTTTGTGCATACAAAGTGAGGGCTAGTCGATAAGGGGGAAGTGGTGGTTGACGGATCAGTGATAACCGGGGTGTGCCCTCATAGGGCTGACAGATCAAATGGATTCCTCTTTTCGCGGTGCCCTCCTCAATTTCTGCCGTGGGCCCAAATATTGTTTGTACAATAAAAGCTGCGCGAAACTCGTTGTCACAGTGATGGCATGTGAGGACAACATTACTGTGACTTTTGGGCGGGTCATCCAACCTGTAGATGACTACTTGCTTTCGTTTGTGTGTGTGTGTGTGTGTGTGTGTGTGTGTGTGTGTGTGTGTGTGTGTGTGTGGTGGAGCAGACACTTGTGTTTTGCTATATTCTGCTATATTCAGACAGAAATCATTGTTTTATGTGGCCTGTGTTCAAGGTATTTGTGATCGACTGAAGTTTATCTGATTTCTAGATGCTATGACTACCTTGAGGCTGCAGTCATTAGTACGGCTCTGTGGTATGTACTGTCTTCTTTCTTAAACCAATGATCTGAACCACTTCTCGAGATACAGTGTCCTCCACTCTCCACAACATGTATACGCGAAAGGTCATTTCATTTCGTAACTTGGCACGCAAATTTGTCGAAAACCTATTGGCACGAACATCAGAGCACTCAGTACGATTGAAGCGTGTCGGGTGAGGTAAGCACACATATCTAAAATGAAAACTCAATGTAATTCTGTTGAAATATTTTCACGGGGTTGTGACGTAAACGAAAACTGCAGGTAGTGTTGAAGATACCAATTTACTTTACGGACAGCCTGACACGTGGCAAAATACCTCATCTCCTGCATTTTTTTGTTCTTAGCTCATGTGTCAGGTATGGGGGGCGTGTGTCGGCAGTCTGAAGCATACGAGACCTGGTAGCGAAACCTCCGCAGGCAGACATGGGTCATGCAGTTGGCTACCGTCGCGATTTACGTATCGCAAGGACAATTAAGAGTCACCAACAAATATAACCTTAGAAACGTGACGTTACAACTTGAAGCGGTAACGACGTCTCCCAGTTGCAGTACGTGGCGTGATATCGTGATTAAAAAGTGCTGCTATTTTACATCTTCGCGCCCCAAATGATTTATTGCGTCTTCGTGGCTCACTAATAGTCGATGCGAGCGAAAAGGTTGACAAGAACGATTTGAGTAAGGAACTTGATTTATTAGTCGGATAGTCTTCTTACGATATACACCAAAATATTTTGCTGTTGAAGAGGAATTCCGTAGCCCCGTGCTCCAACACCAACAAAAGCCAGTCTAGAGAGCCCAAGAACTGGTGGAACGTCACCACGTTTCAGCCTTCGACCCGGGCGTCGCCTACAGTTGCGGCTTTAAGGGTGTCCGTCTTGAACCCCCCGCTGGCTTACACTCCTAAGAATCTCCTAATAACGTTGCTGACTGGCTTACTGATAAAAAGATTATGACAAGCGGTCTCACGCAATCGCTATTTAAACTCCCGTTACGCTCGAGGAAAACAACTGGAACGAGGCAGTGGCCGTAAAAGTGCCACACTGGCAGTCTTGCACAGCACAGTGTTTGTTTGCTTAGCAAGCCGCGATCAGCGCTGCAAAAGGCCGCGGAATGACGTCAGCCGTGGTCCAGTGAAAGCATTCTGAGGTCACAACAGCGGTTGTCTCCAAATCTGTGAGCTACTCCAGCTTCTCTAAGCGTCACACCTGTAATATACATGTAAGTAAAATAATAATAATAATAACCTACGGAAGCTCTGCGCGCTGTCACTGCGCCGAAGTGAGCGATTCTTCGACAGCCCGAACATGCGCTCAACTAAGCAAAGGCACACATTAGGGAACTGCCTGCAGACGCCCCCCTTCGTGACACTCGACTGCAAAACAAAATAGTGTGCGAGTTCTTTAATCAAGTTCCAGATAAAACGTATTGTAAGTTGCTAGCTTACATCGGAAGTCTAAAACTAGGAATATTGGAAAAACAACTGCCAAGTATGCACTCAGCCACGCAAGCCTCAAAACAGCAAAATTGAATAATTCCGACAGCTAATCTGCTTTCGCTAGAGCACGGACGGCGTTCCCAGGTATTTCGTCACGGCGAATACGGCACTCTAAACGAACAAACACCACGTTGTAAAAAGGTGGCATAGTTATACTTTCACGGCTGCAGTATCACACCAATGGTATTCTTTGATTACTGGAAGTGAGTTTTAGAGATATTGCGTTGTTCGTCTGTGCCCTTGATCACATTCTTTTTTTCTACAAGGTGTTTTCATATGCCTTGTAATTACGTGGTTAGGCTGATAAAATAGACTTGGTGCCAAAATTTTTTATCGATGTTCCACTTCTTGCACACACATTAGATTACCACAAAAACTCAACGAAGTTGCCTAACTATCAAGGTCACACAAAAGAGAAGCAATTTAAGAAAATGACAATATCGCTTCACGTATCGCACATTCGCGACGTCACTACCGCTTCGATTGTGACGTAATTGCATTTTTATTTTTTCTTGCTTTTAGTTCTACGCGCGATACGCAGATGGCGATGGTGTCAACGAGCTATCAAAGCTTGTGACACGGGCTTCTACGAAAGCGTGGCTACCAGTTCACGCACAAGTTGGTTAATGCTTGCGCGTCCTTGTTCAGCATTCGGTTTACTGTGCGTCTGGCATCATTATCGAACCAAGTGCACCGGTCCAACTACTCTCCAGAGTGTCGTAGAATGGCCTGCCAACCAGCGCCGATACAGGGATGCGCAGTGCTCAACGACGAAATACGGGAGAAAATCGTCAAGCAGTTGGAGTATTACTTCGGCGACTTGAACTTGACTCGCGACAAATTTCTTCGAGAGAAGATCAAATCCGGTTTTGGTTGGGTGGATATTGACGTGCTGCTGACATTCAAGAAGCTCAGGAGCCTCACTGAAAACAAAGAAGACATTGCTGACGCAATCCTGAACTCAGCGAGCCCGCTTTTGGAAGTGCACAAGGATGGGACGTTGGTGCGTCGTTGTCGCGACCATCCGTTGCCCGCAAATAGCGAAGAAGTTTGGAAGAAAACGGATGAGCGAACGGTCTTTGTCAAGGGCTTCCCGCTCACGATTTCCATTGATGAGCTGCTGGAATTTTTCGGTCAGTTTGGCCAGTGCATCGACGTGTACATGAGACGCCGTAAAAAGAAGTTCATTGGCTCTGTGTTCGCGACCTTCGCGACCAAAGATGAAGCTGATGCTTTTCTTGCCAGGGATAGCGTAAAATTTGAAGAGCTGAAGCTGATGAGAGCTCCCAAGCAAACGCACCACGCCCTTCGACTCCTGGAAGATGCCAAGTTCGAAGCAATAGCTGTATGCTCCAAAGAGCTCAAGTTCGTGCCCGGCTGTTTGATGCGCGTCACGGGAATCGATAAAGCCACGAAGTGGAAAACCTTGAAAGAAGCGCTCACGCCCTATGCCGAGGTGGCTTTCGTTGATTACTGTAGGTGCGAAGGCGAAGCCGTGCTTCGTTTCGTCGAGAAAGGCTCTGCCCGTGCCGTACTTGCCAAGCTTGAGGAGCAGGGCGAAGGCTTGACTATTGACGGTCAATCCGTCACCGCCAACGCCCTTGAAGGAGGTGAGGAGGTCGAGTACTGGAAGAAGCTAGCCGCCATAAAGCAAAAGCTGAGGGGCCGTCGGGGACGAAGCCGAAGCAAGAGCGTCCAGAGCGGCAAGAAACGCAAAATCCATGGATAACAGGATGGTATAACTGGTAATAAAGTGTTCTTGTTCTAAAACTTGTTAATTTATATTTCGGATACATGTTGCAGCGCTATGTTTTTGCTAACGAGCTTGGTAACACGAACCATAGCAACGTCGTGCCAAACGTGAACCGATATATTTGAGAACTGTGCCATGTGTCTTACTTAGAGCATCGAGTTGCTGCACTCCAATTTTCAGCGTAATGAAGAGCTTTTTTCGCGAACATTCTCGCGTCGGTGGCGGATGTTGAGCTAGAAGTAGGCGTTGTCAATGAGGCTAAATTTGAATTTGTTGCCATAAACAATAAAAAGTATTGGTGCAAATGAAAATTGAACTCGGGGCTTTTGCGTGGCGAGTAGGTGTTCCACGCGGTCGACAAGTGCCACGCCAATGCTTCAAGTTGATGAGGAACAAAGCCATACACAAATAGCGTGTGGGGCGAGGAGTCTTATTAGTGCATGTAATAATGTGTGACGGCAGTTCAAAAGTGTACCATCCCACAAGGCATCGAGACAGACGAGCAGCGCAAATAGCAAGTGATTCAAAGGCCGATAGCTGTCGCAGAGTGCTGAGGCGGATTGAATTGGTATTACTAGCACCAGTATATCAACGAAGTTCACACCTGCAGCAGGAAATTTGCGCTAGAACATACTTGTAGATTCGCAGAGCATATAATTAATAAAAGGCAAAGGGCACCTAAAACTCTTACTGACCGCAAGCATGTTAACCACCCGTGTTAAAATGTTTAGTGATCCGTTGATCCTTTTCTTGTGGCAAGGTTTAGGTATTCAGCAAGAAGCAAATCCAGGCTTATTATTCAGACGATTATGTGAAACAAGCCCTATGGGGCTAGCGCGTTTAATGAAAGATGAAAATGCACCATCCTCCTAATTTCATAATGCTATTTTGCGAGAATACGTGCAAAAAGTAACGAGATCAGTAGCACGACGATCAGCGGTAATCTGGGTTTTCGAAGACATGATCTCACAGATAGGCCTGGCCTTGTATGTGAAACAGCGTAGCAGTGGGCGTACGGACGCAAGTATGTTCTTCGCGCTGGCGCATGAAGTATACGGAATCTGATTACTTCTCGACTCTTTTAGGCGGTAACACCCTCAGGAACCATTGTCGCGCAATATAGGTAAAGCTTTTCAGGGTTTATGCTGTGAACTGTTTTTTGCTGTAAATGCTGCGATGACTCTAATTACACCCTTGACATCACACATTGTCTGACATTTGTAAGTAGTATATTGTCACGTTTGCACCTTCCCTACATGCGCATTTAATTCGAGGGTGGGCGAAAGGCATCTACGGCTTGGTCAAGTTGGTTCATCTTCAAAAGAAGTGGAACTGGTAAATGTAACTTCAATAAAGAAATAAGAGCATTTCTACCAATGTTACACCTAATATGTTGCTGTGAAACGTTCATACGTATCACCTGCCGACGGATAAAATTACCACGCGAGTACATTGCATTCTTTCTGTGAAAAAATATTGATAATTGGACTTTTGTTTTCGTTTCAGTGATCACTTGTCGAGATACATCATGCTATGTGCTTCATTAATATACCACACCGTTGTTTGCGATATATATATATATATATATATATATATATATATATATATATATATATATATATATATATATATATATATATATATATGTATATATATATATATATCGCAAACAACGGTATATATATATATATATATATATATATATATATATATATATATATATATAATGTATATGTATTGGCACGGAACTGGTGTACGCAGCCAGGGGCTGGTACACTAGTTCTGTGCCAACCCCCAAATATTATCTTTCGCCAGGGTATAGAGGGCACGAAATGACACTGGACTACACCTGTCTGGCAAGCCCCCCTCCCCCCCCTCCACACACCTCTCTTCCAATGGAGCTGTTGCCCCTTGCGCCAAGACAAATACATTTCTGTCTCCACCCCTACCCTGTATCTCTTCATCTTTTTCGCTGAAAGATTGGTAAAAGCGATGACGTTGTCGCATGTGTTTGTACAGCTAAAAAAAGACAATTATTCACCGTTCTCAACAGGTCGTCGTGCGCGTTTACTGACCATGAAAAACATTGAGTTTCCATAACTATAGCAATTGTTTTAATTAAAGCGTGGTACAAACATTCGTCTACATTGAAGTACCTACTTCAAATCAAATCGCAAGTCGCTGATTTTATGAGTAACCTATACTTAAACTCATGATCACGCATCAACAGAAAAGTGACAGTACGCATCATATACTAGCCATGTATACATTGCACCGGCTTAAGTCAATCTGCAGCAGCTGCTGTACACGCGTGGTACGCGGCAGCACAAAATAGTCACGCACTCGCAAGGCATCACAAGTGAACTTGTAAAAGAGGACCGAATAGGCTGCGGCTGTTTAGTTAACCACTTTTTTTCCAAAGAAGTCTTCCGGGTCGTACGACTAACAACATCTAGCTCAAGCTGCGTTACAATTAACTTCGTCCTGGTGACAGAACTTTCGTCTACGACAAGCAGGCCAACAAGGTTGTTGAGCGTGAATCATAGCAGTTACCCCTGTGTAAACTTAAAACACCGCAACGTTCTCTTTCCTCGATAGCTTTTTTGTATACGCATATTCACAGTGACATTCTAAAATGCAATTTCGTTATTTGACATCATCAGCTCTTCTTCGTGTCATGTTGTTCTGCTTAGTAAAACGTGGCTTAACTTGTCCATTCGCGATTCCGAGATTCTGCCACTCTTTACAGATTTCTACATATTTTGCAAATATCGCGTCGAAAGTACCCGTGGTTGTGGCGTTCTCATCGCCGCAAGCCATGAGCAACGGTGCATCCCAATACCGATACATTCACCTTTATAAATGATTGATTGATTGATATGTGAGGTCTTAACGTCCGAAGACCACCGTATGATTACGAGAGACGCCGTAGTGGAGGGCTCCGGAAATTTCGACCTCCTGGGGTTCTTTAACGTGCACCCAAATCTGAGCAGATGGGCCTACAACATTTCCGCCTCCATCGGAAATGCAGCCGCCGCAGCCGGGATACCTTCAGAAATGCTATCAATGTGTTGCACCGCATCCCTCACGCGAATGCTTCTCGGCATTTGCTATCGCCTTCTTTCTGCCGACGCCGCATTCCTGCCTGCTTTCCACAATGCCTTGTACCACATAACTAAGTCATATCGCAACACGCCTACCTTGCTTTTTGGTGATTTTAACTACCCATCTATCACTTCGTCGAATCTGGCTGCCACACTAACGCTTATAACATGTGCAATGAATTCAACACGTGTCTTATTTTCGGATTATCGCACATAGCTAGTTACTCCATTTGCAATACAGACCATTCAGGGAACATTTCGAAATGAATACTAACTTCACACCCAAAAGCATTTTCGATATTGCGTATCTGAATGGTCTCAGTGGTCATAAGATTCTGCATGCCCCTTTTTATATCTAATATCCAATCAATCAAGAACATGTTTCAATACAATGGCGAATACAACCGCATGATTCAAGATTTAGCAGCTTTTTATGACAACATTGAGCCCCTCTTAGCTTTTCGTTCACTCGAGACTAACTGGTTGCTGTGTAAATCTGAATTTCGGTGCCTAATTAAAAGTAACGTTTCTATGACAACAGCGATAATGAATTGAAACAGTATCCATGGTATAACACCATGCTAAAACGTTTAAACAGTAAAAAGAAACGTCTCTTCTGCTAAATTTTGTCCATTCCCACGGTTACACCTTGTCCATTCTATTTTCAGTGGCAAAAATATAACGTTGCGGTCAAACAGTACGAGAGGCATGTCGCAGAGGACAAATGTGGCTTTTCTTCAACCGTGCTTCCCTCTACATTACACGCTAACCTTAAACGCTCTGCCTATGCATTAAACCCCATTTGTATAGCGCTGTATTTCTGTGCGACCGTTCTGGCTCCCCTGTTCTCCACTCACACATTGCCAATTGTCTGTCATCTGTCAACTCCTCTCATTCAAATCAGCCCCGCCGCGGTGGTCTAGTGGCTAAGGTACTCGGCTGCTGACCCGCAGGGCGCGGGTTCGAATCCCGGCTGCGGCGGCTGCATTTCCGATGGAGGCGGAAATGTTGTAGGCCCGTGTGCTCAGATTTGGGTGCACGTTAAAGAACCCCAGGTGGTCTAAATTTCCGGAGCCCTCCACTACGGCGTCTCTCATAATCATAGAGTGGTTTTGGGACGTTAAACCCCACATATCAATCAATCAATCATTCTAATCAGCACGGATTTCACAAAGCTCGCTCTTGCAACACTCAGGTCACTTTATTCACGCATGATTTACACTCCGACCTGGATCACAACATCGTCACTGATACTCCTTTCTCCGACTCCGAAAACGACTTCAATAAAGTATCGCACATTCTTGCGATGCATAAAGATTCGAACCTAAACCTACACCCCTACACAGTTAATTGGCTACGCGAATTCTTGACCATTGCTTCCTGCTTTGTATTGACTAATGAATGTACTGAAGTTCTTCCTCAGTTGTCACCTTTATTTATCCTCTAATGGAAAACATCAATATTAGTGCCAACGGCATTGTTAAAACTGCCGAGTCGTAGCACCAAGCACCTTACTAGTCTTTTTCTGACGTTGATAATCCAGCATTCCCTCTCCACAGAATCAATACATTTTGACTAGAAAGTTAGCAAGATCATTCCCATTTTGAAAAAGGCGACCAACCTCCCTGTGCTTCCTCCATCTTTGCTCCTCCTCCTCATGGGAATCCTAGTACCTACCGTCTAATTTCTCTCACCAGCGTCTGTTGAAAACTAATGGAGCCCATTTTACACTCACACATTGCCAATTGCCTGCCATCTGTCAACTTTTTCATCCTAATCAGCACGGATTTCACAGTGCTCACTCTTGCAACACTCAAGTTGCTTTAATCATGCATTATTTACATTCCGACCTGGCTCACGACATTGTCACTGATACTTCTTTCTGGGACTCCAAAAGCTACTTCGATAAAGTATCG